GAAAAGTCAAAGCTCAGTTAACTGAAAACCTAGGGTCTGCATTTTATTGTATGTTAGTCATTCTATAGTAAGATTGTGATTTGTCAAAGCCCTATTTTATGGACACTGAAGTTACGCTAGAAGCCAACTGTGAGAACTGAGTCAAGAGACGGTGAATTGGCTTGTCCGTGTACCTAGCTGGTGACAAAACTAATCAGCAGGCCTGGGGAGGATCGCCCAGACGTAGGCCCAGCCGGCCGGCCACGGCCCGGTCCCTTTGGCCCGCAGATAACGCCGTGTGATTCAGACAGCAGGGTGACTTGTACAAGGGTTTGTCTTTTTTTTTCTTTTTTTTTTTTAAGATTTATTCATTTAAGATTTATTTATTTTATTTATTTATTTTATTTATGTATACAGATCTGAAGGGGGGGGGGGAGGCGAGCCCAGAGGGACTCTCCCTTCTGGCGCCAAGCGCCCCGGCCACGCGCTGGCCAGGTGTGACCTGCTCCAGGGACAGTGCAGGTGAGGAGTTTGACTGGGCGGTACACCTGTCAGACGGTGACGCAGGTGTCCTAAGGTGAGCTCAGGGAGGACAGAAACCTCCCGTGGGGCAGAAGGGCAAAAGCTCGCTTGGCTCAGCACAAATACAGACCGTGAAAGCAGGGCCTCACGATCCTTCTGAGCTTCTGGGTTTTAAGCACAAGGTGTCAGAAAAGTTACCATAGGGGTAACTGGCTTGTGGCGGCCAAGCGTTCATAGTGACGTCGCTTTTTGATCCTTTGATGTAGGCTCTTCCTATCGTTGTGAAGCAGAACTGGGGTACAGGCCAGAGGTGCAGGGGGTGAGAAGATTCTCCAGAGACAGAGCGGGGAGCAGAACAGGCGGACTGACGAAGTACACTGCTGAGGGGAGCAGCGGGGAGACAGGAGGTCTGCTGCTTCCTCTGGGTCAGCCCCCTGGCAGGGATCAAACGTGTTACAGGGCAAGGAAAGAGGGGCATCCCTGAACCCCAAACCTGCCTGCTCTAAATAGGTACTGCTATCTGCCGCATCAAGACGAAACATAGAATACCTTTAACAGAAGTTTTTTAAGTTCAGAAAAGACAAAGAATATAGTTTTCTAAATCAAATACCTGAAGTGACCCGTCCCCTCATGGGCAGAAGTCCACCTAAAAGGGACTGGCCCAGAGCAAGGTCTGAAAGTTGCCACAGTCCCAAGTAGGGACCCATGACAAAGGGTCAGAAATGGCCAGGCCCGTCAGCAACAAAATCAAAATCAAGATAAACGCTGCCATATTGAGCCTTCACACGGGTCTCTGGCCCACATCTGTTTCGTCCAGGCCAGGACCAGGAAATAAGACAAAGCTTCTTCACAGGTCTCTGCCCCCTGCGCCCTCAGGTCACCTCCTGTCTCTGTCCTGCTTCCTTCTCCTCAGTCTCCTCTCCAGATTTTTCTCTTCCCAGCTCAGCTCCTCTGGGTGGAGCAGGAAACCTAGGACCTCCCATTTCCCTGAGGACCCCGTTACAAAGCTCGTGCTGAAGCAGCTGCTGCTACTCTGTGGTGCTGCGCTCCAGCTCATTGCGCCACCCCGGAGAGCTCTGTACTCGGCCGTTAATTGCAGCGTTGGGGACGAGTAGAGACTGGCATAAGTTAGACCGCGACACAAGCTGCAGCATAATCTTGCACTACAGTACGGTAAAGGGAAGCAGCATGGAGAAACTTTGTGGACCAGCGTCGGGCTCTGGGTGCAGCTGAGCGGGAAGGCAAAGCCTTCGGTCACAGCGCGGGGCGCACAGGGGGCGGAGGGCTCGGGCCTGGTGAGGTCGGGTTCCAGGGAGAGGAAGTGAGTGGCTGGGAGAAAGGGGTAGGAGGCAGCTATTTCCGTGTGGGCCTGGTTGGCACATTTCGGCTAATGACGCGTGTGAATGTCTTCCTCTTCAAAAAATTAACGAGTACACTACAGTTTGGAAATGACTGACATCACTCACTGCACACAGTTGCCTGTGCTGGCAGGAGCTGCAGCGGGCTTCTCGGAGCTCGCCCTCGCCCCCGCCCGGCCCTGGCGCCGCTGTCGGCCTCAGGGCGCCCTCTCGTGTATCTGGCCGCCCCGCCTTGCTCCAAGACGCGCTCCGGGCGTCTCGGCCCTCCTGCCTGCTTGTGTCCCGCCCTCTTGTGCATGCCCAGCAGTCCTTCGCGTCCCGGGTTTGCCCCTTCGGCCCTGGAAGGCTCTCTCGGGGAGGAGCTGTCTCAGCCGTGCATGGTATGGTAGCAGACGGGTATCCGGCCCCAGAGTCCCGGCCCGCTTCCAGAACTCACCTTTGAAACCGGCCCCATGGCGGCGCCATCCCGGGCCTGGGCCGCCTGTCCGCTGTGGCCTGCCAGTGCTCCGGGCTCGTGTTGTCGAGCTCCCTGCTGTCTGAGGAGAAATAAAACTAGTCCACGAACCCTGGGGGGTCCGTTTTACCAGTGTGCTCGCCCAGACCAGGCTGTTTAAAAGTTGACGGGCGAGTGAGTCTTGCAGCGATCGGCCAGGCTGCAGGCAGGGGGGCCAGCTCTGGCAGACCCGGCGCGGCCCTGGCGCGAGGGAGGTGCTGGCTCACAGGAAACGGCCTCCCGGCCGCGTGGGGCCCTGCCTACCGGGCACCTCCTGCTGCTCGCCCCACTCGTCTGAGCTGGGGGCCGCCCGGCTCCAGGCTGCCCTTATTCCTGCTGTTCCTCCTCAGGCACCGTGACCCCATCGTGGGTCCTGCGCTCCTCCGCGGAGCAGAACCCTCTGGTGCCTGGGCTCGGCGGAGGCTCCCACTCTTCCCTGCAGCCCCGTATGCCCGCCTAGGGCAGGGAGCTGGCCCAGGACCAGAGTGAAGGCTGCTCACTTCCGTTCCCTCAGCCAGGACTTGGAAATCGCGTGCCTCCAGCCGCCTGCCTGCGGTCGCTACGGGGTTGTTTCCTGCCCACCCTGGGCTGCCTGAGTGGCCCTCCGGGGCACGGCGCAGCCTCCGCTGGGTCCCGCCTCACCTTTTCCCGATGCCAGTCCCCCGCCCCACCCGCAGGACACCTGCCTGACCCTGGCAGGGTAATCCGGGACCCTGTCAAAAGATTCTCAGCCACCTGACATCTCCAAGGCCCCACTTGCCCCGAGCGGGAACTTATTCACAGGCTCTGGGCCTGGGGTGGCCCCTTCCCCGATGCGAGGGCTGATGCTCCCGCTGCCCTGCCCGCTGTCCCCTGCGTAGTGGACATTGCATGTCTGCCCTGCTGTATCTGTCCACCTCCCACCGCAAACCTCCCTAGAGTGGGGTGGGGCCACGCTTTCCTGCTGCAGAGGTCTCCCAAGGGCAGCAGGCCAGGTATGCCAGGACGTGGGTACCTCGCGGCTGGGCTGCAGGGCGGAGTCTGGCCGTGGGCGCCGGCAGCACCATCGCGAGCGCTGCCCTCCACTGCCTTGGCGGCTAAGAGGTGAAGCACCCGCCCACCCTGAGGGCCACGGGGGGACTGGCCGGGCCACCGTGTGAGCCCAGCGTGCCTGAGTCGCAGTCACCGTGGGGGATGGGGGGTTGGGCGGTTTACAGGGTTAGTGCTTCCTAGTTCTTGTATGTGTGGGGAGATGTTTCCCCGAACGCTCCTGAATAACCTGTCAGGTGCCCGAGGTTTGCTGGGCACGGGCCTGGACCTGTGTGGCCAGCTGTCTGCGCCGCGTGGCTTCAGCGGTTCCGACCGCCTGGGAGACAGCCCGGGCCCTGGCCTGAGAGCTGGTGGAGCGGGCAGGGGCCAGAGGTGTGCCCTCCGTGGAGCCCGGGGAGCTGCGTGCGTGGGGACAGGAGCGCCGAGTCCGACGCCGGCGTGTGGGAGAGCTGTGCCTGGGCTCGCCCTCCTGAGCCGCGCGCACCGGAGGCCCGCGCGTCTGCGCTGACTGCGGTGACGGTCCTCGGTGTAAAACACGCTGCCCCACGCGTCCTCGAGAGGCCGCGCACCAGGGCGGGCGGCGCCGCCCCACGCCGCTCCGGGAGGGGCTGGAGCCGAGAGGGCGCGGGAACGGGCGCCGGTGCGCGTGCTCCCGGGGACTCGGCCGGGCGGGGCCCTGCCCACTGGCGTGCGTCCGAGGCGGGTTTTCAGGATGCCGTGAAAGGCAGCCTAGCTCAGGCGACGGTGCCAGTGGGTTTGGATTAAAGAGGTAATAAGATCTGCCTGGCAGAGTGGAGAGATGGCCCAGCGGTGAAAAATAAGGTTATCAGGCAAGTGAATGGCAGCCTGGGAGGTCAGCATGTGTCGTTTGGATGGCAGGGAGCCACTGCCTGCTTCCAGAAAGCGAGGTACGGAAGTCACTGTGCCCTCCACGTCACGGAGCCGGGGAGCCGCCCTGGGGTCGGGCTCCGAGGGGTGGCCGTCGCCCGCTCAGAGATTAGATGAGGGCCGTTAAGGGCGCACCGCAGAGGTTGGGGCTCCAGTGCGGACGGGGTGCGAGACGAAGGGACGGGCAGCGAGACGAGGCTGGAAGCGAGTGGCAGGGCCGCTTCTGCGCCTGAAGCAGCTCGCGAGGACACTGGGTCCGAGCCCACAGCCCGGCGCCTGCTCCGCCTCGCTCGTCCCTCCCTCGCGGCGCCTGCTGGCCCATAAATTCATGCCCATGTTGCCGGGGACTGAGCCCAGCGCACTGTTTCGACGCCCGTGCCGGCTGCGTCTGTGGCCGGCTGGTTTGGGGGTGGGGAGGACACGCCCTGATGGCCTGTTTAGCGGCGCGCTTGCAGGACGTGTGCCCATGTACCCCCTTTCCAAACAACAGTGTGCGAGCTTTGCACGGGACACTGAGGTCCGGGCCATCAGGTCGCCACCCAGGAGTGGCGCCGGACCCTGACCCGGACCGCGGCCGCGCCCCCCGGAGGCCCTCGAGGGAGGCCACGGTCCGAGCAGGGCGGAGCGGGAGCTGGCCAGCGGTCAGCGGTCAGGTGTAGGCGGTGCTTCCGGCTGGGGCTGCTACCTGCTTGAAATGATTGTGTTCTGATCATCTAGGTCTCTCTTTGTAGGGCATCTTTTATGACCAAGACTGTCCAGTACCAAAATGAGCTACATAAATTCCTAATCTGGGATACAGCTGGACAAGAACGAGTAAGTCACCCTTTAATTTACTATGTGTTTCACGAGGCCAGATTCACGCGCCGGCGCAGCCGCCGGGGCCCGCCGCTTCCTGCGCGCCGGAGACTCACTCTCGCCCACGCGGAGGCGGCCCTGCTCCGGTGAGAGCCAGTCCGCTCCGGAGGAAGCGATCGTGGGCGCGGCGGGCGTCTTACGTTTTCTAGTGTCGTCACATAAGTGCAGACCAACAAGCTGACCCAGTCCCGCTCAGCGCACTGTATGACTTGGGCTCCAGCCTCCGGGGGGCTCTGAAAGGATGAGGAGTTTAGCCCATCTCTGTAGCCGCCTTCTGAAAGCCGAAGTGGGGCCTTGAAACATACAAAGTTGAGATTTCAGTGAGTGGTGAGCTGCTGCCGCGCCCCGCAGTAGGGTTCGGTGATGGGCTTGCCCAGGAGGCCGTCTGCCCGGGGCGGGCGTGAGCCAGAGCGGGGCCCAGGACGGCCCGTGGCCACTGGGTGGGCGGCGGGGCGGGGCACGGAGCTGGCCGCCTGCCGAGGTGCGCCTGGCGGCCACCCCCTCGCCCGACTGCTGCTTCATTCCCTTTCAGCAGCACTGTCTGAACAGGGCATCTGCTGGCTGCACAGCACTATCCTGGGCTCTTGAAAGTGAACCAGCAGCAACCAGGGGTGGCAGTCTGGCGTCACCTTGGCGCAGGCACGTAGGTGCTGTGTGGCGTCAGTCTGACAAGCATCACCACAGACAAGTGCAGGAAAAGGGTGAGCGTGACCCGTCCCGGGTGGACACCATGCCCAGCGTAGCTGGACGTCTGTGCTGTGCTGTTAAGTTTTTGCTGGGCTTCTTAATGCCTGGTGGCACGCCTGGTGTCCAGTCTCATCTGAGACCACCACTCAGTCTACCACCCTGCAGAAGCATGTCTGCCCACAGAGCCTTCTGGGTAGGTTCGAGATGCGGCCCGGTGGTGGCCAGCAGTCCCTGCAGCTCATCATACAGGGACACGCGGCCCTTTCACAGAACCCCAGTTTGAGTTACCCCCAGTGTACACCTGATGTACCACCAAGCCCTCCTCAGAGAGTGTCATGCATTCCCCTCAGTCAGCACCGCAGAGACTACTAACCGGGGCCTCCCCGACGGCTGCCGAGACAGCAGGGCCCCGTGTGGCTCTGTAATTAGCCGCTTTCCTGCTTCTGTTTCCTACTTCTGAAATTGATTCCGCAACAGGAATCCTGTCAGGCGCAGGCACAGGGCCTGGCACAGGGCGTGCAGAGGAGGCCGGCAGGCAGGCGAGGGGCCGGAGAGCTGCGCGCCGCGGACCCCTGTGGGGAGACTGCCTGGACAGCGCTGACCGGGGAGCTAGCGGCAGCCCAGGTGGCAGGCGGCCGGCGGCCAGCGGCCAGCTCGCGGGCGCCAGGAGCAGCCGGTCACCTGAGGGCAGAGCTCAGATTGTGGCGCCTGCTGTGGAGGCCACACACGCGCCTCCGTGAGCCGCTCTGGCCGCCTGTGACGCGCCTTGAGGCTCCACATGCGCTTCTCACCTCCCACCCACGTCCCCTCTAGCTGTGGGTTCCAGCCGCCCCGTGGGCAGCAGCTCCTGCGGGGGCTACTGCAGCCTCGAGGACGCGTGTGTGGCCTTCCCTGCTCTGCTCTGACGCGCCTCGGCCGCGCTCCACTCCCCCGCTGCCACTCACTGCACGCCGCGCGGCCGTGCGTCCCCGGGGCACGAGCCCAAGTCCGGAGCTCACCTCTCCTGCCGCCCCTGCGCCATCAGGCTGTTCTGACAGCCCAGCTTCCGGGAGGCCTCACAGCCCTCTCCGCCTCGCCTGCCAGCCCGCAGCTCTCACCCCTGAGCTCTGAGAGCCAGCTTCCCTGGAGCCTTCTCACTCTTCCAGCCCACCACCCTGTCTCTCCCCTCGCAGGACGCAGAGGGACCTTCAGAAATGTAATCTGACCCTTGCTGCCTTCGGTCAGCCGCCCCGCTCCCTCAGAATAGCAGCTGCCCCGCAGCGTGGCGTGGCCGACAGAACCGTGCCCGCCTGCGAGCCCGCCAGGCCTTGCCCTCAGCCGCACACACCTGCCCCTCTGCGGCTCTTCCTCTGCTTGAGCTGGCGCCTTCCCCACCCCTCGGTCTCAGGCTGAGCACCGCGGCCCTGGCCCGCGCCCCCGGAGGCTCCCGCTCCTGCGTCGCTGGCCGGGACTCGTCTCGCTGAGACCCGCTGCTAGGTGAGGGCCGTGTGCCCGTATCCGAGGGCAGCCTCCCCTCGGAGTGCACCCTGAGGGCGGGGCCGTGTGCCCGCGCGTGCGTGGGCTAGAGGCCACACTCGGGTTCTCGGACCGCTCGGCCGTGAGCGCTTCACTGCTCGCGCCCCCAGCTTGTCCCGTTTCCTCACTCGTCCACCCCCGTTAGACCGTGGGGGGGTCTTGGTGCCAGCGGATGTCATTGAGCTGCAGGCCCGCCCTTCTTGGGCTGGTAAGGAAGGAGAGGGGTCCACCTCTCCCCGGTGTGCGCCGCTGGCCTCACGCCGTGACGCCTGGTGTCTGCATCTTTACTGTGCAGTGCCCCGCGGTGGCGCGTCGCGGCAGCCGGAAGCCACCATACAGCGAAAGCCTTTGGGGGCGTCCTCCCACTGCCCCTCAGAGCTGTCGCGAGTGTAGCTTTGACAGGCGGGCTGTCTCTGGGCCAGTGGCAGGTGACTGCAGCGACCCCGCAGCCTGCAAAGGTGATTTTGGAGAACTTCCAGTGCCACGATGGTAAGGACCTTGTTGGCATCAGGGGGAGAACAAGACTGATCGGGGTGATGGTGCAGGCGCGTCAGTGCTTTGGGTGTCGCGGGTTGAGAGGTGCAGGGGAAACTGATGGCACCTTCACGAGTTTTCTGAGATTTACCTTGTGTGACAGGAGAACCAGGCAGGCATGACGGCCCGTGTGCTGTGTTCGCGTGTAGCTTTGCAGTCAGCTTACCGGCCAGCTTCGCGGCAGTGTTCATCGGGGCCCTGACTCCCGGTGCTGGTGCATGCCTGTCTTCACACAGCCAGTGTCATGGTTTCACCTTGATTTTCTCGAGAGACCCTTTGTCAGATCGTTGTGTCCCTGTTTGCTGCCCTAAGTGACTTCGTTGTTAGTGCCCTGCCCTCCGGCCCCGTTGCTGCCCGGCCCTCCGGCGGCGGGAGGGGTGGACCGGCGCCCGCGTGTCTGGCCCTCGCTCGGAGCCTCGCTCACCGCTCTGGCGGCCGCGAAGCCCTTGCTCTCGTCTTGCAAGTCAGCGCGCCGGAGGGGCCGTCGAGACGGCGTGCTGCAGGGCCTCAGGCCGAGTCAGCCTGCGCTTGTGCGTGGAGCTGCGCCGGGCCCGCGCGCTCGCTTCTGTGTCTGCGGTGGCTGCTCTCAGCCCCGGGGGCAGAAGGGAGTAGTTGAGGCCACAGCACCCACCGCGTGCCTACTCCCTGGCCCTCTCCAGGGAAGGCTGACCGCCAGACCTTGACGGACGTGAGCGAAGGCGCGCGGGCGCCCTGCAGTCTGCTCACCATCCTCCGCCGCGCTCCGTGTGCGGGAAGAGCCGGGGGAGGCTTCGTGTCAGTGGCGGCCAGGGCCGGCGCCAGGCACAGCCGCCTGCGCGAACCTGGACCCTGAGGGCCGTCTCCCAGCGCGGCCCGGCAGGGCACCGCCCGGGCCTCAAGCAGGGAGCCCACCTTTTTAGCGCCCTGTGTTTGAGACGAGCTCAGGGCCCCTGGAGCAGCTGGGAGGGAAGGGACAGATCGCAGGGGAGATGGCTTCAGTGTTCAGAGGCGCAGAGATGAAGCGTCTTACCTGCCGAACCACAGATGGAGAGTCGCACAGCGCAGAAACTCATAACCAAGTGGAAACTAGAGCTAAAGAGCAACGCTAAAGCGAAACCTGCCGGACGGGCGACGGGCGGGCCAAGGAAGGAGTGGGATTACTGCTGCCTCGCTGCCACAGGGACAGTCGGGCAGCCCAACCAGTGTGCCGGGGCGCGGGAGGCCGGGCGTGGGGGTGGCAGAAAAGAGGCTACTTTGAGAAAAAAGTGCTGAAACGCACCCATTTTGGGTGAAATATACGAATTTACAAATCCAAGAAGCTCAGAGAACGCTCAAGTTCAAGGAGAATCAGCTCTCAGTCCAGCACGGCCACGCTGCTGAGCGCCGCAGAGAGGCCAGAGGGCAGCCCCGGCCACCAGCCAGCCCGTGCAGGCCGCGGGAGTCAGGTGAGCCCCGCTGGGGCGCGCCAGCGGGGGGCGGGCGAGCCGCCAGAAAGCCAGCTCTCCGACGAGGTTTCCTTTTAGAATCACGAGCCGAGGGGATTGCGCATCAGGTCGGTCAGGTGCAGGGAGTGAGAGCCAGCGGCAGGCAGGCCACAGGGAGAGACCGCAGGCCTGCAGACGGCGCGCACGTCTGTCTTCACAGCTCAGTTGAAGGGCTGCTGGCTCTTTACTGCGAGAACGGGCGTGGACCCCACGGCTTCCAGTACGTGCAGGTCTGGGTTCGTACTTGTGGGTTCAAGCACCGGGGACTGCAGGCGAGAGGGTTGGGCCCCAGCGGCCTGGGCTTTCTATGGGGGCTGCACATTGCACGCCGAGGCGGCCGAGGGACCCCCTGCTGCGGCCACAGAAGGAACTGGGGAAGGTCTCGGCGAGAAGATACGGCGTCGGCGAGCAGATCATTGAAATTCAGTGTCAGAAGCGTTCAGTGGACGCAGAAGAGAGGAAAAAGTAAGAACGGGCTTTTGTGAAGTGAAACACAGCGGAAAGGCGCCCGGCCAGCGAGTACACGTGTGTGAAGGGCTGGCGTCCACTCGGAAGGCAGGCGGCCGGCTGGGAGAGGGCGGAAAACGATGCTGTGAAGTCAGAAGCCGTAGAACACCCCGTGGCTGCCCAGGGGAGCAGACCCGCCCGGCGACTGCCCAGGGAGGGCGAGGCACTTTCAGAGCTGCTGGCCCGTGGGGTCGCCTGTCCCGATGCTCCCCTGCCGGCACACGCACTTGTCCCTTTCGGGCTGCAGGCATTTGAGCAGACGCACAGCTCTGCGCTCTCCGTGGGCTTCAGCTTACAACTTTGAAGGCAAAAAGCAGCCCAGGGGCGTGTGCAGGGAGGGAAGGACACGGAGCCCGCCCTGGGGGCTCCCAGCCGCTGCCCTGCCTGGCGCTGGCTCTTCTTTCTTCTTTCCGTTGGCAACACTCGCACAGTGGAGCCGGAAGCCGCTCGGGGCTGGGTGTCTGCAGGATGCGACCGTTTCCTGGCCGCGGCTCTTCTCAGTACATCCACCCGCTAGGTGTGCTAGAGCCACAGACGTCTTGACCACAGCGGCCACAGGCAGCCGCGCCGCACGCCCAGAGCTGTTCAGCAGTGACCGGCTGGAGGCAGGTCTGATGGGAACCACCCGCCGCCGTCGTCCTGCCCGCGCTGAGGTGCCAGCCTCGCAGATGCGCCCGCGCCTGGCTCCCAGCCCCGCTGGTCTGTCCTAGGTGAAGTCACACCCGCCCGCGCGCTGAGCCCCGGACAGCGGGCTCTGGACGCGCGTAGGCCCTAGCTGCGGGAACCTCGCACGAGGACCTTTCTCACCAGTCCCTGCTGAAGGGCTGGGGTCACACGGGCATTGTGCCCTCGCGGGTGTCCACCAGCCGCTCTCCTTTGTGAAGCTCACGCTCCTGCCGGCGCCACGGCCGCGCCTCAGGCGCCGGCCCGCTGTCAGTGTGCGCACAAGGCCGGGTGCTGGGCCCGGCGGCGGAGAGGGCAGAGGCCCCACGTGGCAGGGCCCTCGTCTGCGCAGGGTGGCCTGCTCGCAGGGAGAGGCTCCCCGCGGCTCGTGCCAGCGGGACCAGCCACCCGGGCTCGGCCTCCCAGCCGGTCCCCTTTCCTCCCGCCACCCCCCAGTTCTGAGTCAGGGTGAGGTGGGGCGGGTGGAAGGAGCTGTGCGCACCCCGCTAACGGCGCCGGTGAGCCCGGGCGGTGCCGCCCTGGGGTCCGCGGGAGGGTCCTGAGAAGCCAGCGGCACGCCGGCCCCGCCGGCGGCCGCAGCGGTGTGCAGTTTGTCGCTCTCCCTCAGAGAGAGGGTCACCTCCTTGACCCTCTGGGGAGCCAGTGGCGGGGGCTTGACGCGTGCGCCCCGGGACGGAGCCTTGGCTGGCGCGGTCGCCCCGTGGCACCCCGTGCGGTGCCTGGAACGCTGCTCCGAGCCGTTTCTGAAAAGCATCTCCGGGTGGCGTGAAAAGCTTTGCCCTTGTAGGCGCTGGTTCCCTGGCGTCCGCCACACGCGCCCTCGTGCGGGGACAGCCGCAGAAAGCCGGCAGGGCGCGCGTAACCCTTCTCCTGTTGTTCCCGTCTGCAGTTCCGCGCCCTGGCGCCCATGTACTACCGCGGGTCTGCGGCCGCCATCATCGTGTACGACATCACGAAAGAAGTAAGGCTCCGCGTGCTCGCGCCCCGGCGGCTCCCCGGGCAGGCCGGGTTCCCAGCCGCCTCCCTCTGTGTTACAGGAGACGTTCTCCACGCTGAAGAACTGGGTCAAGGAACTCCGCCAGCACGGCCCGCCCGACATCGTCGTCGCCATCGCGGGGAACAAGTGTGACCTCGTCGACGTCAGGTGAGGGCGCGGCTTGTTGCGGCCCTCGCCGGGCACGCCTGAGGGAAGGGTGGCGCTCGTACGTTGTCCCTCTCCGCGTGTGGCTGCGTTCCTGCATTTTCAAGCCGGAGTGAAGACTCCGGGCGTTTAGGTCCGGTGAGGTGACCCCTGCAGGCGGGTGTGCGCCTGACCTAGCCCCGCTGCGTCGTGCTTGGCCTTGTCTGAGGCCAGCTCGCCGCGGTGCCCGCGACCCGGTGCTCGCGTGGAAAGCGCCTCTCCAGGAGGGCCAGGCTAGCGGCCACTTCTTCGGACTGCTCCGTGACCCCACAGGCGGGAGCGCTGCTGGGGCCGGCTCCCCACCCGCGGGGCTGTCCCCTGCACGTCACGCTGGGACACGGATGCCGTCCTGCTTTGCCGACCGTGGAGGTGGTGGCACTGGGTGGACCCCGCTGGGCCTCAGTGACTGGCCATTGGGAGCCCGCGTCACCCTGAGTCTGCTGAGTTACTGGGGAGGGGCGGTGACGTTGAGACCTGGCGTGCTCTGTTTCCTTCCAGAGAGGTCATGGAGAGGGATGCCAAGGACTACGCCGACTCCATCCACGCCATTTTTGTGGAGACCAGCGCAAAAAACGCCATCAACATAAATGAACTCTTTATAGAAATCAGTGAGTAGCTCTTGCTTTGTGGGTCTCCTCTGTGCAGAGCGGCTTAAAAGAGGATTGTTTTGCTGAGTAGAATTCCCGCCTCGTGTGGAAGAGCCTAGTCCCGGTGCTGCTCTCAGAGGAGTCCGACTTGAGAGTGTCGGAGAGGCGGCCGGTCGTAGACCGCCGGAGACCGCATTCCTCCAGGGCACCGCTGCTGGGCAGTAACGTGCGGGGCCTCGGGGTCCTGGGGCCGCCGTGCCTCCCGCCGCCTCTCTGCAAACGTTTCAGTTCGTTGTCCAGAGTCGCTGAAAACCAGCAGGATCAGTGCGGGGAGCTGGAATGCTTGTGGTCCCCCTGCCAGAACGCCCCTCCCTCCCTGCCCTCTCCCGAGGCCCCGGCATGACGACGCCAGGTGGGCAAGAGGCTGCAGCCGGCCTTTGGGGTCCTCCACAGATGGTGTCCACGTGTACGCACTTCGTTCAGTGTCCTCAGAATACTCACTGAGGACAGTGGCGGGCTCGGGGGCGGCGGCAGGTGCAGGGTGGGCAGGCGAGGCCTGGCAGTGAGCCCGAGCTAAGCGGGTCCTTTCAGGTGGGAAGGAAGCCATGTCTGCGGTGGGCGGGGAGGCCCTGCGGAGGGTGCCGGTGTGCTGGGGTCAGGCCTGCGTGTGGGGCGGGAGGCCTCGGCCCCGGGACAGTCTCGGGACCTAGGCCGCAGAAGCTGGAGGCACTCCTGTCCGGCCGAGGACAGGGCCTGAGCTCCCGGGGAGAGGCGGGAGGCAGCGCAGTGGGCAAACCACCTCGCAGGCAGCAGCGGGCTCCGGGTGTACCCACACGACTCCCAGCGGCAGCTCCGGCAGCCAGGCCACGCTGCCATGTCGGCCCCTGGCCGGAGCCTGCGGGACCACTGGATCTCTCGAGGTGGTTCAGAGGCCAGAGCTCTGGATTTTGTGTGACCTGTCCCACTGTGCAGTCACCGCTGGCCCTGGCACGGCGGCCCTCCATGCAGGCCCCGGCCTGCCGCCAGTGCGGCCGCGACTGCCTGCCGGCTGCCTCCCACGCCCGCCTCTCGGCCTGCAGTGTGCTCTTCTGCCTTCCTGGGCAGCCGAGAGGCGGGAAATGCATCCCGACAGGCAACAGGCCAGTCAGGAATTTTCCACACAGGCCTGCCTGGTGGGTTAAAGTCTCAGCTCTATCAAGCTGTCCCTGAGTTCGGTCTCGGCCAGGGAGTGACCCCTGGGCGCAGCAGACTCTCCCCTCAGCAGTGTGTCTCAGTGGGTCGGCCTGTTCTGCTGCCCACCCTTTGGTTTTGCTCTGTTTAGTTATTAGATTATCTGTCCTTGAGGCTCAGCTGGCTTGCAGTGCTGTGTACGTTTTAGATCTAGAAAGGAACCTTCACATATATGTGACCGCACCACCCCCACTGCCAGGCAGCCAGAGGCTCTCCACCTGGTCATGCTGAGAGATGCTTGCGCTCGCTTTTCCACGTCTTCAGAATACCTCGGGCCAGGTGTTAGGCTGAACAGATACTAGAAATCAAAGGTGGGAAAATGGGGCTGCTCCCGCCAAGCCCCTGGGCCCATTTAAGGGACTCTGTTGCGTAAGGAAACCCAGGGGCGTGCTCTGGGGCCCTGACTGTGGGCAGCTGGAGGCTCTTGGCAGAGGGAGGGTGTCGGGGAGCCTCTGACCGGAAGCGGCCCAGAGCAGCTGGGCGCGTGGCTGGCTGATGGGAAGTTCTCTGGAAATTGGCGCTCTGCGCCCCAGAGCGGCAAGGCGAAACCTGCTCTTCCTCATGCGTGTCGGTGACCAGAGCAGCTCGGACTCCACAGGGCAGGTTGGCAGCATCTGCCCACATTAATCGCACGTCCTCCTTGCGTTTCTGCCGCCACAGGCCGCGTCGTGTACGTGCCCAGGGGGCATAGCGTGACCCAGCGCCTCCGCGTGTGCTGGTTCAGCCTGCACGCTCACAAGTTCACAGAGGTGGTTTCTGTGCCATTAATAACATCGAAATATTGGAAGCCATCTAAGTAATCCGCGACCCAGGGAGTGGGGAAGGCTCAGGCCCTGCACCTGCCGCAGTGCCACTTGGGCGCGGGTGGCCCCCGGCAGGTGGTGCGGAGCAGCCAGGGCAGCAGGAGGCGTGCTGGGCCGTCGGCCCCGACGGGCTTCTGCCCCCGACGAGGGGGCGGCAGGCTTCGCTGTGGGCACACGCCACGTGGTGCGTTTTTCTTGTCTTAAACTTCCACTAGGGCTTGTCATAGTCTTGTTTGGAAGACTGTTAGGCCTGGAACAGGAGCAGGGTGTTAGCGGGGAAACGCATGGCCTCCTCCAGAAGCCAGGTTAAGGGTGATGTGCCCGTGTGAAAGCCCGCACTGCGACCGATGCCCCACGGGGCCCCTGGCCGCCTGTTCACGTGTGGGGCACGGGTGCGCTCAGCCCTCTTTGTCTGCGTGCAGCCTGTCACTTGCTCTGCAGAGCTGTGGTGTCTGTGCAAGAGCGGGGTCGGAAGGTAACCCCTCCCCGCCTCTCCCCTTGCTCTAGGCCGGAGAATCCCCTCCACGGATGCCAGCCCGCCGTCCAGCGGCAAGGGCTTCAAGCTCCGCAGACAGCCGTCAGAGCCCCGGCGAGGCTGCTGCTGACCCTCCGGCCCGGCGGCGAGTGGTGGCCCGGGGCGCCCGAGGGCCGGGGCCCGTCCGGGTCTTCTCTGTGCAGAAGGGGTCCACAGACATCGACGGCTGTGCTTCCTCGGAAGACCGCGGCTGTGACGCGTCAGCCGGACACTGGCGTCACGTAAAGACTCCCTGCCGTAGGAGGGCACGACGTCGTCGGCTTCAGACCTTGCGGGAAAGGAATGCGGGACTGTATGACTGGTAGGGCCAAATTGTTGAGTAGTTTTGTAATCAAGATTTCATGTAACGTGTACAGGGAAAATTAGCACTTTCATGGTTCTTGAGGGAAAAAAGACCTTGTGAAGAGATGATCACCTCCTTGGTCCCATCACCACAGCTACTGGGAATCGTGTCGTTTAAAATGCGGTGGCCGTCACGGGTGGGGGGATGGCAGTTATTGCTTGAAGCGGGTCACGGATGGGCCTGGTGGAAACGACTCCTCCCCGCCACCCTGGGCACTTTCCGTGAGCGCGTCATCCCCGCGGGGCAGCGGCCAAGCCCAGTGTGCCCAGCGGCCTGACCTGCCGCACAGACGCCCCTTCCGCTGTTGGCAGCTTCCGGACACCCTTGTGAGCAGGGTGGTGGCGGAGACGCTGCCCAGAGTAGGCCGGACTGCATATGTCTAAGCATCTCGGCGGTGGCCTGCCAGAGAAGAAAGGGAGCGAAGGCAGAGGGGTGGTGGACAGCTGGCCGTCTCTCCCCTGCCCGGGACCTTCCGGTGGGAAGGACAGTTACCTGTTGCTTAGCGTATGTAAGCTGCCGTCTGCTCTCACGAGCCCACTGCTTAGAGGCCATAACTGACGGAAGTACAGGAACGAGCCGTCACTCCAGCAGCCCACCACGCTCCGCCGGCCCGGAGGAGCCGGGCGTGCGCGGCCCGAGCCCCGAGCCCGCCTCTGCCCCCGTCGGGACCGTGGCAGAGACCTGCGGGCGAGCCTGGCTGGCCCTCCCTGCCTCGGGGGATGGCTTGCTCCGGCGGCCGGCTCCAGCCCCTTTCCTGCGCTGGGTGGCGAGTTCCCTTTAGCTTGTAGGGCGTCCTCAGACACACTGCTCCGAGAGCTTTCCTTGTTACTGGCCAGCTTGTCTCTCCGTCCAGTCCCTGCCTCGGCTAGTGGTGACAGTCTTTTCCCTCAGGGAGCCTAAGGAGGTTTTTAATATAATCTGAAAATAAAGCACTGAAGTGAAGTTGGTGAGAATCTGTTCCTGGTCTAATTTGGCACCCTTCCAACCCGGGCATTGTGGGGCAGGAAACTCACACGATCCCTGGGCAGTGAAGCAGCTTGAATTTCAAACTAAGTGGTGTTTTCAGAGCTGTCCTTAAGTCCAGCAGTAGAAACTTTTAAAAGTAACGGTAGCTTCTGTGTGCCCCCTCTTAATCTGGATAGATTTTAATGGGAAGATTCTAACAGATTAAGCGAAAAGCTATTCCCTCTTCCCAGGCGTCTGTCTTAAGCCTTTGAAATTGCTTCTGCCGCTGCTGCAGCTCGTGGAAGCCGCGGCGTGGCCTGTGGACAGCGCGTGGCTGCTCCAGCCCAGCCTCCTCCCTTCCACGCCCTCAGCCAGCTCGTGGGCAGCGGTGGCCCCGCGGGCGGGACTCTTCCCACAGAGATGTTTGATCTATTCGAGCCGTCAGGGCGTCTGGCCACTGCCCTGGTGTCCCGAGATGGCCGCTCCCCAGGCCTCTGTCCCTACGGCAACAAAATAAAAACAGGTGTCTTGACTCCCTACCCAAGAGCTGTGGGTGCTAGTGTGACCTGTCTCCCACCTAGAGAAGACGCTGATCGGTGACCCTCATGGCTCTTGCACCAGCCCATCAGCCAGTGTGACGCCTCACAGCCTCGGGGCGCAGAGGGAAGGCGGGTGCCCTCCGCCACCGGCTGCCCCAGCTCGGGCTGCAGGGCCACGTGCTTCAGGGTCAGCCCGGCCGGCCCCTGCTGCCTCTCACGCAGCTTCTCAGGGCGACTTCTTGCTCCGTCGGCGTGCAGAGGCCGGTTCTGTGGGGTTTGCGTCGCGGGCTTGAGCACAGGACCACCGAGTGGGGCGCGTGCGGCTCCCCCGCTCCAGTGTGTCCGGGGCCGGTCTCAGAAAGGCCCGCTGCCCTCCTGTGGCTCCCGCTCGGCGGCTCCCCACGTTTCCACCCATCGTCCAGACTAGGCGAGAGCGGAGCAAAGGCCTCGTCACCGACGCGCTGTGCCGAGGCGCGCAGAGGATGGGACTGTCCCCGCGGTGTTCTCTTCGGAGCCCCTTTGGGGCCTGGGCCTGCCGAGCAGTGGCCGCGCGCTCTGTTTCTCGCTCCGAGGGGAGGCGCGAGGGGAGGCGAGGGCTCCAGGGCGCGGTCGCCCCGGCAGCCCTGCCCAGCCCCTTAGGGTGCAGGGCCTTCTGGGAGTCAGGGGGGGCGGCGCCTGGCTCCTGGGGCGCCGTCGGCCCCAGTGCCTGCCTGTCTCGCACGTGTTCTGGGGTTCTGTGAGAACGCATTAACTATCAGCTGGTGATTTAAAGTAAGAGTCCGCCTAAGTGCCCTTCACTGGAAGCTCTTTCAGAAGCACTGGGGCCTCCGGCCCCTCGCGCGCCTCCCTCCCCTGCCACTCCGCCCCGCCGGGACAGAGCCGGACAGTGTCAGCACAGCCGCCAAAGTGCCCGCCAGCCGGAGCCCGCGCTCCGTGGGCCGGGTCCGCGTCGGGCCAGCTCCCCTCGCTTCGGAACATGTGAGGGGAAGAGGCGCACGGCGTTCCGCTTGGGACTGCTCGGTCTTGGGTGTAGCTCTCGTCTGTCCTCGAGGAAGAACACGGGCCCAGGAGGCCCTCTGAGTCAGACTGGGCGTGCAGTGACGGCCGCCCTGGAGCCGAGGGGCCCAGAGCCTCCGCACAGCTCTGTAGGGGCCGCTGTGGTGTCCAGCCGGGCAGGCCTGTGCGAGCCGCCGCTGTGCGGCTGGCGCCTGAGCCCGGCCTTGCAGAGGCACGAGCTGCTCAGAGAGCGCTCAGGAGGATTCTGTCCGTGCTCTTCAACACCTTTTCACTTGTTTTTTCTGACCACACTGAGAGCACAGTCCGTGGCCCTGTGTCTGTGAGGTCAGGCAAAGGTCCCCGCGCTCTCGGCTGTCTGCAGGAGCCGGTAGAATCGTGAGAGCCTTCCTTCGAGGTGGAGGGAGGTCCTGCGTGTGCCTTTGCTCTGCCCTCTACTGGTACCTGCTGTCGAACCCTTGGGGGAGGGTGGCCCACAGACCCGTCAGCTCTCCTCTCAGCTCGGGAAGCTGCCCGTATCCCTCCTCGCTGCAGTAAGGGCTGAAGGCCAGCGCGAGGCTAGGCAGTGCGGACCTGTAAACACGTCCTGACTTTCCGTCGCTGAAAGGGACGGGGTGCTGCCGCCGGCTGGGGGCGTCTGCCTCCTGGCACGGCCGGGGGGATCCGGAACAGCCTCCCTGGGTGAAGGCGGCGCGCTCTGCCATCCGGAGAGCCGGTCTGACACAGATGTGAGGACAATTCAAGGTGATGCTTAGGAGATTTGCTTTTACTCTGGCAGTGAGATTAAAAGTCGCTGCGTGACAGGTGTGTGCAGCGGTAAACATGATCAGGAAAGGAGGGGGGGTGGCCCGGGACCCGGAGCTCTACCCGCTTCTGCAGCATCGGTTCCTGTCTTGACTTCGGTAATGGAAACCCAGGCAGTTTGATTGTCCGATTTGCAAGAAACAGGAATGGAATTCGGGGCATTTTTCCTGTTTTATGTGCAAATGGAAACTCTAAAAAACATTAGAAGGGTGTGATTACATTTTTCAGGAGCCCTGAAAGGTGAGCGAGGGCCCTGTCAGAATGACGCTTCCTTAGACATGAAGAAGAAAGTGAAGAAGCAGACCGAGAATCCCCAGATTTCTCGGCTCGCCCTGCAGGGTTCTCTCAGCGTCTGGGAAACGGCTGTTTGCAGCCCTGGAAGGACCGCAGCGGCCTCAGTGGGCGCTTGGCTGACGGTCTGAGCCGCAGGGCGACTGGCGCCTGTCATCTTTCCTTCTCGAGTGGCGTCCGTTCTAGCTACACCAGAGTATTTTAGACTTTAAAGAAAAAGCATTCAGACATTTCACGAAAAAAAAAAAAAACCCTTAAGCCGCCCACCTTTCCCTCTCGTTGCATTGAGTCCTCCCCACAGCTGGTCGGGCTCTGCCATCGGCAGGCAATCAGTCGCCTGACCAGGTTAGCAACAATGGCTTCGTTGGTGCCCAGACCTGCTGGTGCCCAGTGCCTCATGGAAGTGCTTTCTGACGGAAGCCAGCACCACTCTGGGTAGCTCTCCACGGACAGAGTGCAAGTGCCAAGAATCAGACCCGCTGCGGGGCTCCGCGACCAGCGGCGGCCTGAAGGAGCCCTCTCTAATCGGCAGCTTCAGCTGCGGGCCTCAGACTTCTCCTCGGGCGCTTCCGCGGCGGGAAGCTGAAGCCACTTCTCCGTTCACTCTTCCATTACCTCCACACTGGCCAGTTTCCCGGACAGTGTCTGAGGGCAGGGCCCGCACGCGGGCCAGGGAGGGCTCAGGTCACGGAACGCCCCCTCTCGCGGGCAGGGGCGCCACAGGGTGTCCGAGTGGCTGGTCGCCGCCCCCTGGGGAAAGAGCCGCCGCCTCTGGCCTGGCGACTGATTGCCTCAGTTGTGAGGCCGTTTGCTGTATTGTGTAGACGGCGCCTTCCTGCCCTGGAAGAGAGCCCCTTTCTTCCGCACCTCGCTCCCCCTCCCGGCTCTCTGGGACTCACTCGCATAATTGCCCATCACGCCTTGGGCCTTCTTAAGAACTGGCTCCCTGATGGAAGCGGACCTCTTGCCTTAGTTCTCTTCTTATTTTGTGGGGGGCGGGGAGCCCTCCCTTAAAGACACACAGCCCCAGCCACCGCCCCAGGGCACACCCCGCTCCCTCCCGCGCTGCCTTAAGTGACCGCAGGGTGGGGCTGCCCCCTCGGCGGGGCTGGGGCAGCCACCGTGGCAAACACAGCCACCTCGGTGCCCGCAGGGCGGCCCCGGCTGGGCACGGCACGACCCTCGGCCCCGGTGTTCTGTGCTGTTGCTTATGGGCTAGGTGAGGTGCCAGGCGGCCTTCAGCTCCTAGCAGGGCCTTCCGCCACAGGGTGTCAGAGTCCGAGCCTGCCGTTCCGCAGCCAGGCCGCTCGCGAGCCTAGACCTCGTGGGCGCGGCTGTCCTGCCAGCCAGACGCCCTGCCCTCGCGAGACCTGCTCCCAGGGTGAGACACTTGTGCCTTCGTGTCATGCAGCTGTCAGGGGAACGGTCACAGCAGGCTGCTTCCTGCCCCGGACCCTGGCCACGGCTTCCGCGCCCGACCCTACCGCCCGCCTGCCGGGACGTCGACATGGTGGCTGCGAGCTCGCGTGGGTGTCTGAGACTTTATTTTTGCGGTCTTAAGCTTGGGCTGGACCTGAGTCTCTAAGCCGTGTGATGTCTGTGTTGTTTGTAGACAAAAGGAAACTGCATCTTTTGATTTTTCTTTTTATACTTAGCCTGGCAGCAGTGTGTGGATTTGGCCCACTTCAGACTCGTGTTCTCCTTTGAGTACTCTGGGACAAACTTGCCTCGAGTGTAACTGGCCAAATCACCACAAGACGTGTCCTGTTGTCAAAGGGTGTGGCCATTTTGTTAATAAAATGCTGTTTACAAGTACGTGTATCTGCCTTTCCATCTGTTGTGTGTTCCCCATCATGTGTTGTTCCCAAACAGATTTCAAGATTTTTGAAAACCAGAGAACCCGAGCGGCGTGCTCCGTCTGCCGCGGCCAGCTGGCCGGGTTAGCCGGTGCTGCGACCTCCGGCCTCCTGCCTGTCCTGCCCGGCGCCTCCCTCTGGGGCCCTGGAGCCCTAAGGCAGAGGCGGGTGGCCCCGGCCGCCAAGGCAGGAACAGCGGGGTCGGGTCCGTGGAGGCCAGCCCCCGTTATCTGGGCACATTCTCGCGGGGCCAGGACGTCCCCTCACTTTGACTTTGACCCTGGCACCCCTCCGGGGCGCCCGATGCCTGCAGAAGCGCAGCCTCCCTGGGCGCCTTCCCGCCGACGCCCCCCATGAGGGCCCGAGAGCCGGAGGCCGGCCGGCCCGCGTCCCCTTTCTCGGCTGCGGGACTCTGCACCAGCCCTCGCCCCTGAGTTTTTGTCGCCTCGGAAGTGGGCGGGTGGGGCCACCCGGCGGGGCCCTCCCTGCCGGCGCGGG